TGGAAACAAATTTGTTCTCGTAACTTTTTTGATGATTTATTTTTAGTCGGCCGTTATTCTGTTGAATTAATAATTATTAATATAGTTGAATTTCAGACATCACATTTTATTATAATATTTATTAAATAATTACTGTGATTTCTAAATTTAATTTTTTTTTTAATGCATATAATTTATTTATTTATTTATTTATTTAAAACCCAAAAATAACTAATTGTCAATCTAATTAAATTACTAATTATAAATAATATAATTAAAAAAATTTTTTTTATATATATATTATATTAATAATAATAAATTATTACTATTATTACTATTATTATTATTATATTATATTATCATCATATTGTTATAATCAAAAAAATTTTGAAGATAAAAACCCAACAATTCTGTACTTTTTCACCATCCTTCGAATTCGTTACTTTTTTCAAAAAGAAAAAAATAAAGGATATATATATATTGCCAACAACGTATTTTTTCATAAACACACAAACGTTCTAGTTGTTTCTTTTATTGCATCTGGAAGACTATTAAATTATTTTTACTTTATATTATTATTTTGATTTCCCGCCAAAAAAAAAAATTAAAATTATTTTTGTACATTTATTTGATCTATTTTTAGCAACCATTAAATCTTCTACCAATTTAGAATTTCTGTTTGTGTTGTAAATCCACACAATTTTTAATCAAATTTCAACCTTAATTTTTTTTATTTATTTTTATACTTTTTATATTTAAAAAACTATATATAGTGTTATCTTTTTTTGACTTTTTTAACTTTTTAAAATAATTTTTCAGAAAATTATAAATTTTTTCTTTACAAGAAAAAGCCTTAAAAATATTTTTTAAAATATTTTTGTAGATATATTTTACATTTCAATATTCATACATATTTATACATATTATTATACATACATATATATTATATTGTATACTCCATATATATATATATATATATATATTATTATAAATTTATCGCGTAAAAAGAATTTACTTTTTTTTTAAAAAAAAAAACAACAACAACAAAAATTCAAAAAGCAATGACTACATCACTATCAACAACACCATTAATTGATCAAGAATATTTACCATTTTATTTTACAATCACATCAGAAAAAGAATCTGAATTAATAATCGATCAAGGAATTGGAGAAGAAAGTTACAGCAGCATTTTTCCATTGATGGGATTTTTTGATCAAAATGATGAACAACAACAACAACATTTTAGTTCACCTTTAACTACAATTTACAATTCTTCACCCACCATAACTTCAGACTTTGATAATTCTCCACAACCACCATCATCTTGTTATTATTATTCATCTCCTTCATCCTCTTCATCATCATCTTGTTCGCACGATGATCATTTATCTTGTTGTGACACCAATTCAAGTATCTCAAGTCCAAATATTCCAACCGATTCATTAATTGAATATATTGAAGAAGAAAACAATTCTCCTTCCTTCTTTATTCCACAATTTCAAGATGATCAACAACAACAAAATTTAATAAATGCTTTGGCCTTTAGTTTTGACAATGACAATAACAACAATCAAGATGAAAATTCCATCAATGAATTGCCACTATTTTCTTACACGTTGTCTTCTGCAATAAATCCAACATTAACAATCACAAATCCTCAGATTGATTATGATCAACTTTCAAATTTTCAAGAAAATAATAACAACGAATTAATTATCACAACAACAGACAACAACAATAATGATGGTAATGGTGACATCAATACCATCAATAAAAATTTTGTTGTAAAGCCAAGATCTGCTTCTGTTTCAAATGTTTCATCTTCAAAAAATAAAACAAAAACAAGACCTCATCATCATCGTAATAAATCTTTACCAATTGACATGATAGAATGTTTACAC